ATGAAGTATCCTGAAACTCTGTGGAAAGATGTGCTCTGGTCTGTCAAACCTAAAGTTTACCTCATTGGCCACAACTCTAAAAGGTACTGCAGAAACAAGACTGTAGATCACCAAAAGGACTCCAACTGCAGTTTAACATGGTGGTGGCAGCATCATACTGCGGGGTTGCTTTGATTAATCTGGAACAGAGGTTTTATTGATAAACCTCCAATTACTTGTGTTGTGTTGTGTTGTGTTGTGTTGGGCTGGGCTGAGCTTGTTGACGTGACGTTACATGATATTGCGTTACGTTACATTGTCCTGTCCGGCAGTGTGAAACTCAGAATTAATGTCTGAGTGCCAAGATGAGACCCAACAGTTTTACAAGTGCAGCATAATGGCTTTCACCATGATTCTCCACTTCATATATATTTAAATTTTATTAGAAATTCTTTTGGGATTCTTTCAATATAACAGACACGTGGATGGAAAAGTAAACAAAGGTGAAGAAAGAGATTAAAAGGGAAACAAGGAGTTAATACTGCAGTAAAGAAGAGTAAGAAACAGAGAGAACACAAGACAACACATTTGAAGTCTGCCTGTACATCTGCAAAAAGAGGGAAAACAAAACAGAAAAAAAACACTGCAACAAACAACATACAGTATACTGTATATACATAATAATAATTATAGCCTCACTGACAAGTACTTTCTGTTGATGTAATTTCTAGTTTAAGGGAGTGCACACTTTTGCAACCAACTTAGGTTTATTACAAGAACCTGGCATTTTAACGGATGTGTCAACTTATATCTACTGTAGCTCTAAGTTGGAATAGCTGAGAACTTTAAGTGGTTTGACTTCCTGTTAGCGGTACTGAGAACGGTGCAGTTTGCCAAAACGACACTTTCAGACAACAAGAGGAAGTGTTGCTTTCACAAGCACACACTGTTTAGTTTTTCAATAATAAAACATAATTGTAGCATAAAATTTTATGTAAATCTCTTAACATGTATTTTCTTTCTCCTACTAAATTATGTCACCATGGTAATAAAAATTTACCAAGGCCAAAACTAGCAGGAAGCTTTTTGTAACATTGTAAGTTTACCTTCAGATGGATTTAAGAGTCTTTACAGTTCTAAGTTTAAAGGAAATGTCAAAACCACAAAGAGCAACACCAAATCTCACCACTAAAGAACTGTTTGGAACAGAACTGTTATGTTTTATAGATGACATGACTTTTACAAAAATGGGTCAAATTTAAGCTGCAACATTTTAGTAACAACTTCTACCTAATATCTTGAATGAAATTTGAAATTTATCTAAAGATATTGTATTAGTCAGCATTGACGTTAACAGTCCAATAGAGAATACCGTAGGTCTTCATTAGTTAACAATACATATAACTTAGTTAAGGTTAGGAACTGATGTAAGACTTGTTTTGGGGAATTTTCTGTTTTTACAAGACATTTTTACTCTGATATTCTTGCCTCATAACTCAGTACAGTACTTAAGTAGCAATTTAGCTAGCCTAGAATCAGCAGAGTTTATTTACCAAACACAAACATGATTCCCAACTTTGAGAATGCTTTTGTCTTTTTATGAACTTTTGCAGTCTTTGTACACTGTTACACTACAGTATTTTCCTTACAATATTTCCCTTCGCAGGGCATTTGTGGGATGGGTACACAGTAGTAGTGGAGTGTTGCATTACTAATGTAATGTTAGATAGTGATAGGGGAAACACTGTTAATTTCCTGTTACATGAATATTTTGTTTTGCTGTCAACTGACCACTACCTGGTGGTGAGTTGGCTCCGGTGGTGGGGGAGGAAGCCGGTCAGACCTGGCAGGCCCAAACGTGTAGTGAGGGTCTGCTGGGAACGTCTGGCGGAGTCCCCTGTGAGACGGAGCTTCAACTCCCATCTCCAGCAGAACTTCGAACACGTTCTGGGGGAGGCAGGGGACATTGAGTCTGAATGGACCATGTTCCGTGCCTCCATTGGCGAGGCGGCTTACCGGAGCTGCGGCCGCAAGGCTGTAGGTGCCTGACGCGGCGGCAACCCTCGAACCCGTTGGTGGACACCTTCGGTGAGGGATGCTGTCAAGCTGAAGAAGGAGTCCTATCGGGCCTTTCTGGCCTACGGG